TCAGGGGACCCAGGAGAACTGCTCTGCCGCGTGGCTCGCAGTCTTGGGTTTTATGGTGATGGGATTAGTTTCCAGGCAGTCTTTGGCCAATCATTCTAATTCAGAGTCTTTCCTGGTGGCACACGCATCGCTCAGCCAAGATGGATGCTAGCGAGAGGGATTCTGGGAAGTGGACGGACACGCGGTGTCTCCTTTTGACCTTTCCCGAACTCTTCCGGCTGGTGGTGGCTTATTAGTTCCTATTGCTTATCAGGATCTCCTGTCATAAAACAACTCGTGCAAATGGTTACTATGGTGCCTGGCCAGGGTGGGCGGTTTCAGTCAGTGTGCTTCCCCTGACAGTGTTATCCTACCTACAGGAGAAGGCACTCTGCGTGTTACAGTATTGTGAGCCTCTGAGAACAGAAAGTGTCAGTGCTGCAGGGTTCTTGGTTTTATCCAGCAGTTTTCAACTCTAGTTACGCATTAGTCAACTTGGGGAACTTTTAAAAATACTGCCACCCAGGGTTCACCCTTCAACCCCACCCGACCCCACCCCGAAACTGGAAATTTTAATATAATGGATCCTTGTTGGGACCCAGGCATCTGCTAGGAATTCCCCAAGTGACTCTAGTGCCTGGCCAGGCCTGAGAACTATTGGAACCCCTGCTTGTGGGTGGAGAAACTGAGGCCCAAAACAAGAGAGTGATCTGTCCAGGGTCACACGATAAGTCAGCAGCACCTTCCAGCAGGGCAGGCGGGGCAGGGGAGCGAGCCAGTGGCAGAGGCGAGTCCACGGCCCCCCCCGCCACCCTGCTCTGCTCTCTGCCGGGCGAGTCCTCTGTCCAGCCCGTCCACAGTCCCCTGTTCTGCGGTCTGCAGGTCGGCGTGAGTGGCTGATGTTCTTTGCACAACACAGTTACTGAGGAGCCCCAGAGCTAAGAGTTGTACGTGCCCACCTCTCGTGGTTACCACCTGGCTGGGCTGTAGGTGAAGGGAAAAACACCGGGGATACCATCCTCCCCTGAGAGCCAGGCGGGGTGGGGTTGGCTGGGCCGAGTGCCGGGGAGGGGACCCGGTGCTGCCCAGGACCTCCGAAGCGAGACTTCGGGTTCCAAGGCCTGGGCACGCCAAGGGCGTGGCTCCAGCGCAGCTTCTCACGTGTCACCCAGCGCCCTGAGCCCACAGAGCGCCTCTGGAGAGGAGCAGTTCTCGGGGAGGCCTTCCTGGAAGCGGTGATAGGATTCGGGCGTGTTGGTGTGCTAGAGGGAGGGGAAAGCCACCTTCCAAGCAGAGACCCTTGTGGGAAACAATGGCAGTAAGAAAGTGCCGTAGTGTAGTAACAGCGTGTTCGGGAACCCCACAGACAGCTCACGGTTACTGTTATCGTGACTCAATAGCTGCGCTTATTGAGCTGAACGCTAACAGCTCACGGTTACTGTCGTCGTGACTCAATAGCTGCGCTTATTGAGCACTTTCTGTGAGTGAGGCCCCGGCCGGAAGCTGCCTGGAGTCTCCTCTGCGGTCCTCACGGCCTCTCTGAGAGCCCAGCCGCTCGCAGGGCGCAGCGGGAAGGGACGTGGGGCCTGCACTTGGGAAGATTTTGCTCACCCGGTAGAGCTGGGTGAGGTCACAGTCACGAAACCACAAGGTCAGAGATTATGAATTATTTTTTAATCTTTGTAACTTTAGCACAGAGCTAGCATCCCAACGTTTATTGAATGAATGAAGTGATTAAGGGATTTAATATAAACAGCCTTCAGCACCCAAATGTCCACAGTCAGCTCAGTCAGGGGACAGAACATAGCTAACCTTCTACCACCTGCTCTTTTGAGGGATTCTTCATTATGAAATAGCTTAGGCGGGCCTGGCATGCAGCAGGCACTCAATATGTACAGGCCGAATAGCCAGCAGCCCGAGTTGCTCACGCGTAGTGAAGATGCTCTGAATTCAGAACTGAGACCCAAGTTCAGGCAGCTCCTTACTCACTGCCCAGCACAGGGCACTCAGCGTTCACTTACCAACTTGAGGCTCCTCCCTCACCTGCAGACTGGGGTGAATTATGCCTGATTCAGGGTTTGCTGGGAAACTCTGGATGCAGGAATGTGTGAAGCTCCCCTACCCCAACCTCCAAGCAGTGCCCCCAGGGAGAGATTACGGTGATTATGGTCCTCGCAGGAAGCTGAGTGTTATTTTGGTGCCACAGGATGGATGGTACAGTGGGGTGTGAGGGGCGGGCTGTGTGGCTGGGTGCGCGGTGAGGTGCCAGCCACACCGCTTTCCAGCTCCTGGTGATTTATTCCAATCAGCCTGCATATTTCATGTGCTGCCTCCCCACACCAAATAAATAAATCAGAGCCTCCTCTGAGCAGTGGGAGCTGATTAGGGCTGAGACTTCAAAAGGCCAGAGCAGGGATGCTGGAGCTCCCAGCAGAGTCTGCTGATGTGACATTTAGGAGCTGGGTGACCCCGGCAAGTGACAGCCGCCTACACAGTATGAGGCCCCCCCACAAGTGGCGGGGAGACCTTTGCAGGGAGAAGGAAGTGACTTTCACAGCCCTGTGTTCCACCCCACAGTCAAAGGAAGGCAGGCAGAAATGTGGCCAGTGGGATTCCGTTTCGTTTCCTGAATTTTTATAAGGATCCAGCAGCACACCTGCGTCTCTGCAGAGAAATCCGCTGAGAGCCAGAGCCCCAGGGAGCAGCTCCCCGGCCACAGTCTCGGAATTCCTGCTGCCGGGTCTCATTATGACCCTTGGGCATTCTGAGCACCAGGGTCTGCCCCGCTGTTGGGCAGGTGGGCACTCCTCTCTGTAGTTATTACACTCATAATGCCCAGGTGGTCCAGGGAGTAGGCAACTCAGGCCCATAACTGTCACCTCTCAGAGATCCCACTGAGGTAGCCACATGTGGAAACAGTCCTGGGTCTGAGCCTCGGCTCTGCTCTGAGGATCAGTGGGGCCCTAGGCAAGGCTGTAACCTGCCTGAGCCTCAGTTTTCTCATCTGTAAAGTGGGACTAAAACCACTTAACTCCACACAACTGTGAGAACTAAACAAGGACAGGCACATAAAGTTGAATCCCCTTGGCCCTTCCCCGCCGACCCGCCACCCGGTCCCAGCCTGCTCAGCTCCGGGGCCCACTCTCTACTCCTTGCCTTTGTCTCTCTGCCTCTCACCCCACCTTGAATGAACCTTCTGTTCAAGGGGATCCTTGTCCCTGTCTTGGTGGCATGTGGCATGGCTGGCCAGCTCCCTCGTGAAGCTGTGCCTTTCCTTGCGCCCACTATATCCTGGCCTCCCGGCCCCTCTTCCCCATCTCTTTGCCTCGTCTTTGCTCTGCCCACCCCAGAGATCGGCGCCCCCCAGGGTCTGCCCTTGGTCCTCTTCTCCCCTCCCTTGGCACCGTCCCTGGAGGTCTCCTTCCTGCCCCCTGCTCCAACTCCCAGTTTACGTGCTAATGACCCCAGTTCTCTCCACCCCCCACCCCTGCTCCCCCGGCTCCAGACCCAAGGATGTCTCTGTCCCAGTGATCCTCAAGCTCAGCTTGTCCAAACTGGATCCTCAAGCTCAGCATGGGTACCTCAAGCTCAGCATGTCCAAACTGGATCTTCAAGCTCAGCATGGGTACCTCAAGCTCAGCATGTCCAAACTGGAACTTGTCATCTTTCCACCTTCTTTGACCCCTCCTGGGCTCCCCATTGGGAATGGCCCTGAGCCCCCTTGCCCCCTCATTCCCCTGTTCCCCATCTTCTCCACCCACTGATCACCCAGTGGTCCACATTTTACCTGGAGAAAAACTGGTCAAATCTCATCCCCACCCCTCCACTCCTCCTACCACCACCCTGGGCAAGTCTTTGTCATGATCTAAGCCTGCCAACAGAATGGTATCAAAGATAAAGGTAAATTCACATGGATCACTTGGATATGAAAAGATACCTGAACAAGTGTATATATACGGAGGAACCGACAACGAGACTTGGTGCTAGGTGAAACATAGAGCAGTGTGGCCTCTGAAGGATGTGAATTTTGCCTCAGGATGAATTAATAGGAATATAATGTGCAGAGTGAAGGAGGGGGCTGTCCTTTCTACTTGTTGCTGACTACTCGCCTGACTTTAGATCATGCCTAAAGGGTATCGGTCAGTCCTTGGGTCTACACCCTATCAGACAGTGATATTGTGAGGTGTGGTCTAAGTTGGAGCCTGCATATGGTGGGAAGTAGAAATGATGTTCAGTGATGATGTTCAGTGCTAATGACCCCAGCTCTCTCCACCCCCAACCCCTGCTCCCCCAGCTCCAGACCCGAGGATGTCTCCATCCTGATGATCCGTGGGCGCTGAGGTTGGAGGGCGGGGGCTTCCCTGGTGGCTCAGTGATAAACAATCTGCCTGCAATGCAGGGTACGTAGGTTCAATCCCTGGGTCGGGAAGATCCCCCAGAGAAGGAAATGGCCACCTAATCCAGTGTTCTTGCCGGGAGAATGCCGTGGACAGAGGAGCCTGGTGGGCTCCAGTCCACGGGGTCACAAAGAGTCGGACGTGACTCAGCAGCTAAACAAAACAAAAGGTGGGGTTCGGGGCTACTGCCAGGGGGGGTGGTGTGTTTTTGTCTTCAAGTCTCTAGAGCTCTCCCGGGGCAGAGGAAGCGGGGGTGGTCTGTGTGGTCCTGGAGGGCAGAGCCAGCTGGCAGAGTAAAGTTACAGAGAAAGCATTCAGCTCGATAATGCACAGAAGACTTGGTAATAGGTGGAGAGTCCGGTTCTTGGTGCGGGATAGACTCCCTATCCATAGATGTACTGCAGAGAATGAATGACCAGCTGATGAGACCATGTGAGAGGGTGTTTGTCCCAGCCCAGAACAGGTTGGACATCTCTTGAGTCCACCTGGAAAAGGCCCTGGGGAAAGGAAAAGCCTGCAAGAATATAGCTGGGGCCTACGGGCAAGCAAGCGCTGAGACAGGAGCACCCAGACCACAAACGCAGGACTTGGATCTAACCAGCCACGACCCCTTGTTTCCCGCAGACAGCCGGGAGGTGAAGGTGGGAGAATATAATGCTGTGGCTGACACGCTGGAGATCATCAACGACACCATCCGGTTCCAAGGTAAGGCAGGGGGACTTCTCAGAGGAGGGGGCCTGCTCAGGCCCTCCCAGGCCTGGGCGTTGTCTGAGAGTTGGGGACAAGCTCAGAGTCACTGGTTTCAGGGGAAAGAGGGAACATCCTCAGTCTGTGCACTCACTCCCTGAGGACAGGCCCCCCTCGCTCGCATGGGAGCTGGGTCCCAGCCCCTGGGATGGGCCACTTGTATCTGCGTGGCGTGCTAGCTCTCACCGAGGCATCTGTGTTTCAACCACCGAGTCACCAGGAATGATTCTTTTCCTGTGTGGCCCAGTTAAATGTTGCTGTGTCTCCCCCTCGGAGAAGATGTGGATGGGCTGGTAATCAGGCCTCTCCACCTGCTGCTCTTCTGGGAAGACTGTTCCCTCTCTTCTGCTGGAGAACTCCTCCTCAGTGCCGGGAACCAGACAGATGACTCCTCCTCCGTTCAGCCTGCCCTGGGGGCCCCCACCTGAGTTCACGGTGCTCTTCTCTTTGCTTCCACAGTCCTTGAGTTCACGGCGCTCTTCTCTTTGCTTCCACAGTCCTTCGTCTCTGTCCCTCCCATGGCCACCATCCCTTTGCACTGAAATTACTAGGCTATTCGACCTTGAGCTCCCTGATTCGATCCTATTTGACTTTAAATTCCCAGCACCAGCCAGGGTCTGGCACATGTTGGGGGCTCAGTGATGTGTGATGAAAAAATAATTCATGATTGATCAAGTCAGTGGATGGGTGGGTGGGTGAATAAATGAGTGAATGGGTGAGCATATTAGTCAGTGAAGAAGTGGGTGGATGGATGGGTGGAAGGACAGGTGGGTGGGTGGATGGATGGATAGAAGGGGGAGGGCGGGACTGGTAGATGGCCAGCCTCTTCATGGAGTGGCTGGGGAGGAAGCTTGCATCCCCACAGCACCAGGATGTTGTTACTTTGATTCCACTGGGAATGCAAAGAGTAGACATCTGACTTTCTGCACCTGGAGTTCCTTCCTAAATCCAAGACCACCAGAAAAGGCGATCCCATGAATCGTTTGGATTCATTTTGGATCTGTGGGATTCCTCCAAGCTCCAGGTGGTCTCAGGGAGGAGGCATGGTCTTCCTGTTCCCACCTGAGGGAGCTGTCACCAAGCCCGTAGTCATGTATTACCTCGTGGAGCCACAGAAAAATTCCAAAAGGTGGTTGGGTGAGTCCCGTCATCCCTCTTGTACAGATGAGAAAAAGGCTCAGAAAACCCCAAATTCACACAGCCTGTGAGAGACAAAGCCAGTTCTAACCACGAGAGTCTGATCCCCAAGACGGGGCTATTTGCTCCTGGACGCGGGAGGTCTGGGTTTGCTGAATAAGGATTCTGGGTTTACAAACTGAAAGAAAAAGTCAAACAAAAAATAAACTAAAAACACAAAACATAACTGAGAGGCAAAATGTGAGTGAAAAACGTTAACAGCCCAGCCGGGATAGTAGCTGGTTCTGTTAGGAAGCACAAGGCCAAGGTGACCCTGAGGCAGCCGCTGTTCCCGTCTCACCTCTTGCTTCGAGAGCTTCCCCGCACCGCCCCGAGGGTGGATGACCAGCCTTTGAGCCCAGAGCCGAGTCAGGACGCCTCTGGACGCAGGGCAGAGCCCAGCTCTCCTGTCCGCACCCCGCCTGGGTTCAGCTCTCATCCAGCCGCCCGGGTCTTGCCCACCCACCACCAGTCCAACCCCGCAAGCCTGTTGTGCCCCTGTCACATTGCAGTGAAAGACGGCCCACTCTGAGGCTCACACGGTCCCCGTTGCTCACAGGGTGGGTGGGTCCGAGACCCCCAGGATGGCACCCTGCCCCCACTTCTGTGTCTCAGCTCTCCAGCCTCCGCGACAGGACTGCTGACAGTTCTGCCAACGTGCCTTCGCCTGTACCCGGCCCACTGCCCAGAGCGCCCCTTCGTCCACGTCTCCCTCACAAACAGCCAACTGCCTACCTTCCCCCAAGACTCAGCTCCCACCCCGTCTCCTGTCTGTAGCCTGTCCTGAGTCCGTGGGGCGAGCCTGCGCCCCGCTCCCTGCCCCCGCTCAGGCCTTCCTGTGCCCGGTGCTCACACCCCAGCACCCAGCACCACAGGCAGCGTGCAGCGTGCTGAGAGCGCAGGCTTCTGGCGAGGCCGAGCCGGGTTCCGGTCCGGCCAGCTCTGCCTGCCGCTCACTGTAAAAACCACTTAGCCCCTGGAAAACCACTCCCTCACCCGTCAAACGGGAAGAATCCTCTCTACCCAGAAGGCCCTTGGACAGTGCAGCCCCGCTGTGTGTGGGGGCGGGGATGGGGAGAGGAGAGGAGGGTGGGAAGTAGCAGGGAAGTTTCCCAGGGGTTGCCTCTGTCACCTTCAGTGTGATTTTGCCTTGGCTTTTGGCCCTCGGAGTCGCTCGTGTATTACCTTGCATAGATGTGCTTAATGCTTTCCATTAATCAAGCCAGAGGCTTCTTAGCTGTTTTTGAACCTAACAGCTCCCCTGTATTGTTTAGATGGTTCATACTCTTTATCCACGGAATGTTTCCAAGCACATTTGAACTTGCTAGCGGGGTTTTTAAACCCCGTGTTCAGGGGGGTTCTCAGTTCCTGCAGCCCCATCTGCCCATCCTCTGCTTGTCTCCTGGGAGTGGAGGCGTAACTGAGGCTGGCACAGCCATGGTGGGGTCACCGTGAACCCTGGTGGTTCTCCCAGGTTTGAGCGCCTTTGAGCGTCGGGCTGGCTCCACATCCCCACTGGGAGACGCACTCCAAAGTTTCACGGTCCCACAGCAGAAACCTGGCCTGAAATAGCAACTGCGAAAAGGGGGATTTGTAAGAAACGAGAGGTGGGAGGGTGCGGAGGGGGTGTCCCTGCAGTCTGTTCCTGGTAGAGCAGGACGATTTTGCCACCACCCATAAAGGTGAGTTTACTCTGAGGCCCCTGCGGCTCCCCCCAGGTGCCTGCTGTCCCTGAAAAATAAGCAGGGCCGTCGCCGCAGTCACATGGCAGGATGAATCCTACAGTTTCTGTCCGGTCCTGGCACCGCAGGGAGGGGAAGGACTGCCCATCGCTTCTGCCTCCCGCGGTTAGTGAGCCTTATGAGAGTGGAAAACCAGAAAGAGCTTTTATAACATAGTGACCTTGAGGCAGAAAAATCCACAGCCAGAGCACCTGTATGTCTCATGGAGTTGACAGGCAAGGTGTCCAGCCCTTGACACCTTGATCATGTGTTGGAACAGAATCCCTGAGAGCTCAAGCCGAGTTCCTCACCCTCAGAGGCACCCAGGGGTACCCACTCCCAGCACCCAGCCCTGCCCCTTCCAAACCACTAGTACCTTTTGGGGAACAAACGGTGATGGTTTTTCAACATGGTGGTAGACCAAATCAAATTCTAGTCTTCTAATGGCTAATGGCTATTAAATGCATCACAAATCCCTTAATGATTCTATTGTGAGAAAGAAAGAAGTCCTGACGTAGGCTCCATGCTGGGCACAGTGGCTAGCAGCTGGGGTCCGCTCGCCCAGGGACACGTGCTGTGCAGACTGTGTGTGCAGGGGGCCAGTGCCAAGGACAGCCCGGCAGGGGTGTTCTCGGGGTCTGATGTGGGCACTGGACTAATCTCACGCCTTTTCCTTGATCTTCTAGGGTCCGAACCGCCAAAAGACAAGACCATCATCCTGGAGCAGCTTCGTAAGATCTCCCTGCCTCTCTATAGCATCCTCTCCGCCCTTACCATCCTGGGAATGATCATGGCCAGCGCTTTTCTCTTCTTCAACATCAAGAATCGGAATCAGAAGTAAGTCACTCAAGCCCTTCTCTTGGATACTGCTTTCTGGATTGACAAGCCTCGTAGACAAAGTGTAGAATCCCTCACACGTCTTTGCCCCACGCCCGAGGCCTTCAGGAAGCACTGCCACAAGGGGACCACTGAGGTCAGTCAGGGCATCCCCATCCGTACAGCCCATCACGGGCAGGAAGTGACCTCCTTCATCATCTCAATTGACCCTGGAATAATGATCCCAGTTCCGCAAGACATTGCTGGCTCAGTGGTGGAGGCTGGAGCGCCATCACCTGAGACCGCGCTGCTGCGTGGGGGCAGAGCCCATCCCCTGGGTTTCCCGCACACTTGCCCTTCCATCTTCCGAGGAGTGCAGCTCACTTTCTGAGTTATTCTGGTCAGCCGGGGTAGAACGGGCCGCTGCCCCAGGCGGTGGTTTCACGGAGCATGGCCATCTTCTCCGGTTTCCACGGCAGATCCCCGCACCCTGCTCCCCACCTTGTTGCAGGAGTGCTGAGCAGGGGCTCAGCGTGTGGGCCATCAAGCTCACAGCCCCGTGCCTACCCCCAGTGGGGGGGCTCTGCTGACGTCGGGCCCAGAAGCCACACAGCGTAGCCTCCTGGGCTGCAGGACCTTAAATGATGACATGCCTGTTAGCACTTGGTGCAAGGTCTGAGCACATAGTCAGCTCTCAGTGTTAAATTTCCTTCCTACAAGTTGCAAGAGTTCTCATCAGAGCAGCAAGCGGTCCCGGTGGTATGACTGTGTTCCTCTAGTTCCTTAACTGCCCCCTCTTGGCCTCCTGGGGGCTACTCTTTCCAGTAGGCTGGCTTCTGTATAAATTTTTTGCAGATTAAAGAGTCTGCAAAGAGATAGGAAGTAAATGTCCCTGTAGTTTCAGATCCCCCTCTCTTCTCTTCCTAATGCCTCTGTGACCCCGTGGACTGCAGCACGCTAGGCTTCCCTGTCCCTCACCATCTCCCACACTTTGCTCAAACTCTTGTCCATTGAGTAGGTGATGTCATCCAACCAGCTCACCCTCTGCCGCTCTCTCTCCTTTTGCCTTAATGCTACTCAGCCTTCGGGTCCGCCCCTCCCAGGAAGCCTGCCTGGACTCCCGGCCTCTCCCGTCCCCAGCTTCCTATGGTAGTAAGAATGAAGGAGCCTTAAGGCTTCATGGTGTGCATGGTCCCTGCAGGGACCCAGCCGCCTCTCAGCTTTGCACCTGCCCTAGTCAAGGACGTCTGTGCTTTTATAGGAGAGGAAGCTCACTGCGCTAATTGGATTGCTGGGGGTGTGCCTTGAGGGGTTACACAGGCGCTTGCTGGACTTAGGGCTTCTAATTCAAAAGCCCATGGGGGGTCCACAATTTATAGCTGGTCTTTTATCTCTCAACTATTAATACTTTGACACTGCATTTAAGTGTGGAAGGATAGACAGAACTGCAGAATGCAAAAGAAATGCTCAGGGAACAACTGATTATAATTAGAGTCTGCAAAAGATCACCTGGACCATGGGGGCACCTGAAAGTCCAGGACATTCTGAACAGAGTGTGTTGGGGGAGCCAGGCGCCTCTGAGGGTAAATGGCAGCCGTCTGACGGTTTAACAGCCTGCTGAAGACGGGGAGAGCGGGGGTGGGGACCCCATCATCCGTCTCGTCACCTGGTGCCGAGAGGCGCTGCGCAGTGGCCGTCTGTGCTCTGGACAGTGTGAGCTTCAGGCAGTCCCAATGGATGCTGGCTCACCACCCGATGACCGCAGCTCTGAGCAGCCCTGAATTCTCACCTGTACGCCTCCTAGATCTGGTCCACTCAGCACGGGAGAATGTGGTATAGCCCAGCATTGTGACAAGTTGCTGAACTTAGAATTCGCTAGATTTGGCTGTCTTCCCAGACCCAGCCCCCCCCCCCAAAATTTTAATGTCTTTGTGTAAACTAAAAATTAATGGTTGAAGAAGCCAACACTACAAGCTATCCCCAGAGAAGTGATGGGTGAACTTGACTGAGAAGACAGGAAAATCAACACCTAGAAATCGATAGCACTGGGTCCTGCAGTGAGGGGGAGACGAGCCCCATGGAGGTGGCAGCGCCTCGGGGAGGGGGCGCTGGACGAAACCAGGGCTTCCATTTTTCTGTCCCCCTCTAGCCTTGGTGACAAGATGCACGTTCAGAAAATATTTGCTGAAGGAATAGCTACATTAGCAGTTTTGTTAACTGTAGTGTCTCTTTCTCTCATCAGGCTGATAAAGATGTCGAGTCCATATATGAACAACCTTATCATCCTGGGAGGAATGCTGTCCTACGCATCCATCTTTCTCTTTGGCCTTGATGGGTCCTTTGTCTCTGAAAAGACTTTCGAAACCCTTTGCACCGTAAGTCATCCCGCACATTCTAGTGGTTTGTGATATAAGCTTTTCTTTGGTGGCCGCGATCACCAGAAACACAGACACAACCCAGAATTGCGTGAAAATGCACGAACAAGTGCCAGACAACTTGTTCAGCCATTCAAGCAGTTCAACAGGGCAAGCATGGTGTAGCTTTTGGACCAGAACAGAATATTGCTTGTAAAATTAAGATCATGGATTTAACAGGCCATTGCTAGAAGACAAACCCACTAAGACTGACTGGGTAATCCTGGAAAGCAAGGGAGAAAAACTACCCCCTCCCCCAGAAAAGCATTGTGCCTGGAGTCAGGGTCAGAGCCACGCAAGAAGGAATACTTCTGCCCGTCAACCTCAACAGCCATCACGGAGTGTCAGGAGAGATGTCTGCATGGGTGACTTCGAGTAGTGCAGAAAAGATCATGATCCTTATCCTCTTTTTAATAGTACTGTTTCTCAAACCCCCCCCCCTTTTTTTTTGCTAACTGCCCCTCTAAGAAACCTCTTTAGACTTTTTTTCTGATTATCCATCCATGAAATTTAAATTCCAAAGATATGCTGTATGTCTGTTTATGTGCTGTGCATACATATATTTATGCTTGCGTCATGCCCTACTCTTTGCAACCGTATAGTTTCTACATAAAAGAGTAATATTTATTCACATTCAAGAACCAGTGTTGTCCCCCTTGGGAACTACTATCACTCCCATTGAGGATGCAAAAATTTAAGGAAGCCCAAAACAGTGTAATTTATTTACTGTATTTTAGCAATGCTGTTTTGAAAATTAACCTGTTTAAAAATGTTGATGCCTAGTTGTTGTTGTTGTTAGTTTAGTTTTTTAATTAATTTTTTTAGCAATTGTGTAGAAGTTTCAGTTGAAAGTATCTTTGGTGACTTTTTAAGATGAGGATGACCAGCTGGGATTTATTTCTGGACTTTACGGTGATATTTCAAAACTGGGTTAGGCGTTTGGGTCTCTGTATTGTCCCTAATGCAGTAGTTCATCTAATACTCTGCCGGTATTAGCTGGAAGGGACGGGCAAAGGGTCAGGGTTGACAAGATTAACCCAAAAGCAACTCTTGTTTTAAGGTTATTTTCCTTTAAGGTGTTGAGAGCAATCTAGGTCCATTTTGGGGGACGCGGTCCCTTTCATTAAGAGATTATGACCGCTGTCCTGTGGTCCCAGTGTGGCCCACTACCGGATGATTATGAAGTATAGGTTGGAGAGAGGGATAAACAAATGGAGGACCCCCCAAATGTGCGGCAGGTCACCAGCCACACCTCGGACCTTCAGGACTGCGGTGGGTCCCGAGACTCTGGGATAGCCGGTGGGCTGGAGGGAGGGCCCCGGAGCCCCTGATGATGGTCCCCTGATTCCTGCAGATGATGACGCTGGACTGACTCTGTTGATCACCAGTAACTTCGGCGTGAATTGTCTAGCTGGTGAGATGTCCCTGCAACACGTACTTTAAAAGGTTCCACTTGGCAAGTCCACAGTCAAGCCCCCAGCACCCTGGGGCTCCCTGGGCTGCTCAGGCAGCCTTCCTCTCTGGGATGGACCTGGAGGACCGTCAGACCCCACGTGCTCCAGAGCTCACCTGGTTCGGGCCTCCCGCTCAGAGTTTTTTATTCTGCCTCCGTTTCACTCTGCCCTTCTGGGGGCTAAGGAGGTGAAGTCCAGAGCCATCGTACCCCCCCATGCCTGGCGTCAGCCTGCTGGAAGGCCTCGTGGCTGTGGGTTGTGGTTTGTCCCCTCGGACGTGTGACCCCCGGCACGAGGATGGTGACTGCTCTCTGGGGATGCTGTGAAGCGCGAGGTCCCCCTTCATTTCTGCCTCCGCGTGACTTACGTGCCCTGTGCAGCCTTGTGGCCGCGTGTGCCTGTGGCCGCTTTTCCCGGGCAGCAGGGAGGCCTGAGGAAGGGGCTGTTCCCAAGGCGCCCTGAAAAGGCTGAACGAGGGGAGTATTTCTCTCCCCTCTGTCCCTGGGGACGCCCGCCCCACGTTTGAGGAGACCGTGCCGACGGCAGTAATGAAAACGGTGCCGGGGCCAGCCTGGTGTCTTCTCGTTCACGCTTCTTGCAGTGACTCCCCGAGCGCCGAGGGGCCCGCCTCCATCTCCTAGCTGAGAATCGGGGGGCAGAGCTCCGCTGGTCCCTCCCGCCTCCTTGTCACTGGCACCTGCCCCCCGCGAACACAGCCGCTGGCCTGAGGTCCAGTCTTTGGTGCTGAGATCTGAGTCCCAGCCCTCGGGGAGCCGCTCCCTCCCAGAGCGGAGCTCCTGCCGCCTCATGAGCCAAAGGCTGTCAGAGCACGCGTGCTCCCTGCCGTGTGCCCCAAATTTCAGACACCGGGTGACGCAGACGAGGGAGCCTGGCTGAGGACATCCCGCACGCCCGGGTGCCTTCTTTAAGTGAAGCCTGACGTCCGTCCTGGGAGTCACGCTCACTTTTGTGAGGGGAAGGCTATCCTGGGAAGCCTGGCAAGGCGGCATGAATAAAGCATAAAGCGCTTTACAAATAAGCATTAGCTGGAACATGAGGGCTCTGAAGATGTTAGGGCCTGTTCTCCCCACCCCAAGGATTCATTTGTTTGCAGTCAGGGCTGCTTCAGAGGCTCTGCAAGGGGGAACCCACATTTGTGACTGTGGGGGAAAGACATAACTACTGTGGACTGAATCGGGTCAGCACCAGTGTGTACGTGGTTAGGACCAGGGTCACTTATTTAATGATCCGCAATGTTGCTCTTGAATTTAGAGCCTAAGTGCCAGTCTCAGTGGGTGTGATTTGGGTGGTCCTCCACTTGCTGTTCCAGGGGGGCTGGCTCTATTTCATGTGGTGCCTTGGATCGCGTTCCTTCTGAACCTGGCAGACACCCCCAGTAAACTCCCACCGAGTGGGGAGACGGAGGTGGAGCAGGGGCCCCTAGTGCGGAGAGCACAGGTCTTCACCAGCCTGAGCTTCACCCCTACCTCGTACACATGCTGCCTCCAGACTGTGGAGGTGACTTAGCCCCTCCGAGCCTCAGCTTCGTCGTCGGTGAAATGAGCACGGTAAACCCCCATGGCAGGACTGTGTGTGCTATGCATGCTAAGTTGCTTCAGTCGTGTCCAACTCTTTGTGACGCTATGGACTGTAGCCCACCAGGCTCCTCTGTCCATGGGATTCTCCAGGTAGGAATACTGGAACGGGTTGCCGTGCCCTCCTCCAGGGTATCTTCCTGACCCAAGGATCGAACCCGCGCCTCTTCTGTCTTCTGCACTGGCAGACAGGTTCTTTACCACTAGTGCCACCTGCGAAGCCCCAGGCAAGACTGTGGCGTCGCCTTCATGAGACAACTCAGAGGAGCCAGCTGGAGCCCAGGGCAAGCAGGAAGAAGGGGGCATCGTGCTCCCCGTAAGGCACAGCCTCCTGGCGTCCACTCTGTTCTGCAGGGAATCTTGGAGGACAAGAGACAGGGTGGCTCGGGAAGCAGCCTGAGACATGGGGCTGTAGAAATCTCCCTTCACTCTGTTCTGCTGCCATACGAGTGCCATGCGATCCCCATTTAGTTTTCAGCATAGGAGCTAAACACGGAGATAAACAGTGAACACCAGCTTGGGAGGCGACCTGTGACGGTCAGGGGGCTGTGCCTCTGCTCAGAAGGGCCGTGGGCTGAGTGCACATGTGAGCACACGTCCACACACGTGCACGCGTGCACACAGACACACACACGCAGAGCTAGGGAAGCAGTTACACTCAGATCCACCCCCCGTTCCCTCTGACCCTCCCGGGCCTCTTCCCAGCCTAGTTTCAGCACGTCTTGCTAACAGCTCCAGCTCCACCGGGCTGTCTCCCTGGACACTGTGTGGGTAGTGGAGTCTCCATAGCAACGTGGCCCCGGTAGGCACAGGGCTACCTGTGAGGACAGCGCTGGGTGTGGGCCGGGGCCCCGGCGCCAGGGGGATGGGGAGCCCTCACACCCGCTTACGCAGCTCCGGAACCCAGCCCCCGGCAGCCCAGAGCCTGAGCAGGGCAGGCGGGGAAGACACAAGGTTCGGCCTCCCTCGTGGGGTCCTGGGCAGAAAGCCCGGCGCAGTGTGGAGGGTGAGGAAGCTCTCTGCAGGCGAGGGCAAGACCACCCAGGCAGGCCTCGGTCACGGGCGGGTCTCCACAGCCGCAGGGGCGCCCAGAGCGTTCCGGGCGTGGAGGCACTCGGCAGTGCCCTGCGCCCCCCCAAGCCTGTGCCCTCATAAACAAGCTCTCTCTGCTGTGATTCACCTCGGGCCGGCCGCCAGGTGCAGCCTCTCCTTCAGATCCCACGGCCACCTGCACGGAAGGCTCCCTGTCCCTGCTTCGTAAGGGAGAAAACCGGAGCTCTAATGCGTGGCTGGGTGGCAGGGCTGAGAGGTGGAACCAGCCCTGTCAGACTACAGAGATGTCTGGGGCATTTCGTTCATTTCTTTAAAGAAATATTTTTATATTTTCGTTAGCTGGTTCATACCAGGAGAAACAGGTCAAGTAAATTCTTAGAGATGTGAACAATATGTATCTCAACCAAAATATTTGTCCATTCAGATTTTTTAAACTTGGGGTATACAGTCATCCCTCAGTATTCACTGGGGACTGGTTCCAGGAACCCCCACAGATACCAAAATGTGAGGTTGTCCAAGTCTCTTGTGTAAAATGGTGTAATATTTGAATATAACCTATGCAGTCCTCCCATGTACTTTAAGTCATCTCTAGGTTACTTATAATACCTAATACAATGCAAATGCTATGTAAATAGTTGTAAATCCAATGTAAATGCTATGTAAAGAGTTGCTGGTGTGGCAAATTCAAGTTTTGGTTTTTGGAACTTTCTAGAACTTTTTTTAAAAAATGTTTTCAGTTTGTTCCCTGTTGTTTGAATCCATAGATGTGGTATTCCACATAGATACGGAGACTGACAATCGTTCACATGCTGTAAAATTCACCCTATTAAGGTGTATAATTCAGTTGTTCTAGTGTATT